ACAGGGTGAGGCCGAGGCTAGTCCATTAGTCGTAACTGGTCAGTTGTTATTTCATGCTGTTTCTTTATATGCTTTGATTGATTCTGGAGCTACTCATTCTTTTATATCTCATGGAATGATAGAGAGATTAAATTTGAAACCTGTTAGAGTGAGTCAACCCATTAAGATAGAGTTGCCCGATAGGGTTAGTGTGCTGACTCAAGAGATGTTGTTAGGAGAGTTTGTGGTGATCCATGGTCGAGAGTTGGTAGTTGACTTAATAGTCTTTGATATGCCCGACTTTGATGTAATTTTGGGGATGGATTTCCTAGGGAGGAATGGAGTAGAAATTGATTGTCGGAAAAAGAAAGCGAGATTTAATCTCGATAATGGAGATAAGTTTAGTTTCGGAGAGGGCCATCGGTTGAGTATGTTGATTAGTAGTGTAAAGGCTAGAAAGATGTTGAGAAAGGGGTGTTCTGGATACATTGCTCATGTAGTACAGAGTGGTGATGTTCCACAGTCAGAAATTCAGAGGGTTCCGATAGTTCGAGAATTTCTGGATGTGTTTCCGGAAGACTTACCGGGTTTACCGCCGGAAAGAGAGGTTGAGTTTAGTATTGAACTGGCACCAGGAACAGCACCTATATCTAAAGCCCCTTATCGAATGGCCCCAGCAGAGCTTCAAGAATTAAAGAAACAACTCCAGGAGCTTTTAGATAAAGGCTTTATCCGACCGAGTCATTCTCCCTGGGGAGCCCCAATTTTGTTTGTGAAGAAGAAAGACGGATCACTACGGATGTGTATTGATTATAGAGAATTGAATAAGGTGACAGTGAAGAATAAGTACCCGCTACCTCGAATAGATGATTTGTTTGATCAGTTGAAGGGAGCAGCAGTGTTCTCCAAGATTGATTTGAGGTCAGGGTACCATCAGGTAAGAGTGGCTGAGCAGGATGTAGCTAAGACTGCTTTCCGTACAAGGTATGGGCACTATGAGTTTGTAGTGATGCCGTTTGGTTTGACTAATGCCCCAGCAGTTTTTATGGACTTGATGAACCGGGTATTCCATGATTGTTTGGATCAATTCATAGTGGTTTTCATAGATGATATCCTGGTTTACTCTAAGTCGAGAGAAGAGCATGAGGAACATTTGAGAATAGTACTGCAACGGTTGAGAGAAAAGCAGTATATGCTAAATTTTTGAAATATGAGTTTTGGGTCGATCAAGTAATATTTCTGGGCCATACTGTGTCGAAGGAAGGGATTCAGTAGATCCGAGCAAGATAAAGGCAATCCTTGAATGGCAGAGGCTAAAGACAGTAAAAGAGATTCGAAGTTTCTTAGGCCTGGCAGGTTATTACAAACGATTTGTTGAAAGGTTCGCCCAATTGGCTAAACCATTAACAGCTCTTACCAAACAGAAGATGCCTTTTGTATGGTCAGAAGCTTGTGAGGAATGTTTCCAAGAATTGAAGAAGAGGTTAACAACAGCTCCAGTGTTAGTGTTGCCTCAGGAGGGTGTAGATTATGACATTTATACGGATGCCTCTTTGCAAGGACTTGGTGCTGTGTTAATGCAGTTAGGTAGGGTGATAGCATATGCCTCTCGACAATTGAAAGAGTATGAGACGAGATACCCTACGCATGACCTAGAATTGGCAGCCGTGGTATTCGCTTTAAAAATTTGAAGGCATTATCTTTATGGTGCCAAGAGTAATATCTACACCGATCATAAGAGTTTAAAGTATTTCTTCACTCAAAAGGAGTTGAATATGAGACAGAGAAGGTGGTTAGAGCTGGTTAAGGATTATGAATGTGAGATTAAGTATCAACTGGGGAAAGCCAATGTAGTAGCCGATGCCTTGAGTAGAAAAGCTTATTTGTCCCGGTTCACTAGGCAGAAAGAGTTGATAGAAGAGTTGTGCAAAGAACAGATTGAAGTGATCCCGAGAAGGATTGCTAGGTTAGAAGTTCAGTCTACTTTAGTGGAGGAAGTCAGAGTTAACCAAGTGGCTGATGAGTGGTGTCAGAGAATGGTTCAGCAAGTACATGAGGGTAAGATGATGGAGTTCCACGTAGTGGATGGTGTCCTCTATTTCAAGAATCGATTGTGTATCCCTCAGAATGGTGAGTTAAGAAAAAGGATTCTTATGGAGGCACATGACACACTGTACACTGCTCATCCTGGAGCAACCAAGATGTATCAAGATGTAAAGAAAGTCTACTATGGCCATGTTCGAAGAAAGACATTGTAGAGTTTGTAGCTAAATGTCTGACTTGTCAACAGGTAAAAGCAGAACACCAAAGGCCCTCATGGTTGCTTCATCCATTTAGTATTCCAAAATGGAAATGAGAGAGCATTTCGATGGATTTTATCATAGGTCTCCCTAGAGTACAGAGAGGTTATAATGCTATTTGGGTGATTGTGGATAGATTAACTAAATCCGCCCATTTCCTTCCAGTAAAAGAAAGTACCACCTCAGATCAGTTGGCTCAGATCTACATCAAAGAGATAGTCAGATTACATGGTATACCCAAGACAATAGTGTCAGACAGAGATTCGAGATTTGTCTCAGCTTTCTGGACTAGTTTGCAGAGAAATTTGGGTACCCGTTTGGCATTCAGTACTGCCTATCATCCTCAAACGGATGGCCAAACAGAGAGAACAAATAAGGTGCTTGAGGATATGTTGAGAGCCTTCTACATGGATTTTAGAATGTCATGGCATGAAATGTTACCTTTGGTGGAGTTTGCCTACAACAACAGTTATCAGTCTACAATAAAAATGGCGCCTTACGAGGCTTTGTATGGTAGACGATGTAGGTCTCCACTACATTGGGATGAGATCGGCGAAAAGAGTGAGTTGAGTACAGCTCTTGGACCAGAGATGATGCAGAAAATGATTGAGGATGTAAGATTAATCCAAAACAGAATGAAGCAAGCCCAAGACAGACAGAAGAGTTATGCCGATATAAAGAGAAAAGAAGTGGAGTTCCAAGTGGGTGATAAGGTATTTTTGAAAGTTTCCCCTTATAAACGAGTAATGCGCTTCGGGAACAAAGGGAAGTTAGCACCGAGATATATTGGTCCATTTGAGGTATTGCAATGAGTTGGAAAAATTGCCTACAGATTGGCACTACCACCTAGTATGGACAAGGTACATGACATTTTCCATGTCTCGATGCTACGGAAGCATGTAAGTGATCCCTCCCATATCTTGAGCTTAGAAGATGTTGATCTCGTAGAGAATCTTGTGTATGAGGAGCGCCCTGTACAGATTTTAGATCGGAAGGTTAAAGAGCTCCGGAACAAGAGTATTCCACTAGTGAAGGTTCTTTGGAGGAATCATAAAGTAGAGGAGGCCACATGGGAGACAGAACAAGACATGTAGAATGGGTACCCGGAGTTATTCATGTGAATTTCGAGGACGAAATTCTTTTAAGGGGGGAGAATTGTAACACCCCACTTGAGGTACGTACTTAAGATTTGCTATATTACTTAAAGGATTCACTGTTTCAGCTTCAATTGAGTTTGTATGTTGTATTGGTTAAGTGTTTGCCTTAGTTTGGTTGAATTTTGGTGAAGTTTGGAAATTCGAGCTTCGCCGAGGCGAAGAAGAAGCTTCGCCGCGGCGATGAGGAGCTGCACCCACAGGTAGGCTCTACTGTGTTTCGCTGGGGTGACATATTGTTCTTCGCCGCGGCGAAGAGCCTAACAAAAATTTTCTTGAGTTTTCTAGAGAATTCTTCCTTTTGGGCATAATGACCTTTCTAACCCTAATTAGTAGGAAAAGTGGTGTAGCCCATGAGAGTGCATGCGGATGAGGGCTATACCCGAGTACCCGAGAGAGAGATTATACACTCACATGGCCAAGGGTTCCGAATCCATGCATAACCGAGTCCGATCGGCTAGAAAGAGTAGAGGTCACGTAGAGCGGGAGCGAGTTCTGGCCGTGCCCCCAGTAAGATGGGGCCGTGACTTAGAGTTAATAGAAAAGAGTTCTAAGAAAGAGAAAGAGAAAGAGAAAAAGAGAGAGAGAAGTACCAAAGAGGAATTGAATGAGAAGTTGTAAGGAAAGAATTAGAGTGAGAGTTACGGGGTTAGACGGGTAGAGGATTTACTTATTGGGCATTGTTTTAGTGCTCACCCCGTTATTTCCTATGTTTGCAGGATCCAGGTGAGGACGCGGTCGGATGGATGTCGACACGCGAGAGGAAGCAGTTACACTGTCCACCATGTCTTTGACGACTTTTGTACATATTATAATTTTGTGTAAAATATATATATGGTTGTAAAGCATATAGATGTATGTTTAATAAAAAGAAACTTTTGGGCTCAATTTTCTTATGCTATTTTATATGTATTTTCTTATATAAATCATATGAGTATTTGAGTAGAAAGTGGCTGTTACAAAATTACCCTCTTAAATGTGCATAGTAATTATTGGCTTTAAATGTTCTAAAAACTGTAGTTTGGTCCCTGCACAAAAAACACAAAATTGGTCTAGCAGCTTTCTTGCCGCGGCGAAGTATAACAACACCATGGTTGTCACAGCGAATATTTATTTTGCTGTGGCATGCGTGAACTTCTAGAGTTCTAGAATGTTTCTTGCCATGGCGAGATTTACCTTTCTGTAAGTCGCCGCAATGAGATTCACTTTCTCGTATCTCGCCACCAGAAGGACAAGAGTTAGTTGCATGACCAATATTACCACAAATAGCACATACCTCTTTGGCAATACTTTGTCCTTGTCCCGTCATCATATTGCACATAGCTTTCATCTGATTGGCTAACTCTAAAACCTGCACCGCCAACTTAGTGTTAGTATTTACTTCATACATCCCTCTTGTTTTTCCTCTAGCACTTTTCTGCTGCGAGTTGGCTCCAAGCATCTCTAAAACTCATTCACCTCTTGTGCAGTCTTTTCTCCCATAGCACCACCTGCAGCATTATCAACCATGGCTTGACAAGCCTATGTCAGTTCATCATAGAAAAAATTGGTTTAGTAACTCTAAAGAATATCTATGATGTGGACATTGAACTAAAAATAATTTAAAACGTTCCCAAGATTCATGGAATGGCTCACCTTCCATTTGTGAGAAAGTAGAAATCGTACGTCTAAATTCTGTAGTTTGGGCATGAGAATAGAATTTATCGGTGAACTTATTATAAACTGCATCCCATATGGTAAGTGAAGCAGGAGTTAATGACATGAACCATGTTTTAGCCACATCCTTCAAGGTGTAAGGAAAACATTGCATCCGCAATTGGTCTTCTGTTAAACTCTGCAAAGGGAAAGTTTGAACAGTAGAGTAAAGATCATGAATAAATGTTAAGGGGTTCTCTATGGCTATGCCATGGAATGAAGGTAACATCTAAAAGTGAATGTGCTTCAGCTCGTAATTCCTTACCGCATCATTCAGAACTATGCAAGATGGTGACGTTCCTATAATAGGACGTGGATACTCCTTCATAGGATGAGGTAATTCAGCCATTATCTCTGGTTTGGAACTTGAATCTGATGAATTTTCATAAATCTCTGGTTTCGTTCTCTTTCTATTGATCAAGTCAATTCTATCAACATAAGGAAATAAGTCTTTATCTAATGATCTGCAACCTTGCATTCAAAAACAAGCACACCAACAAAAGCAAAAATAAAAAATAACCCAAATAAAAACAATACAAATTAAATTAAATAACAGTAATTAAAGCACACGTTATCAAGAAAGCTAAATAACTTAAAACAAATCCCCGGCAACGACGCCAAAAACTTGATGAACAATTTTATAACCTCGCAAGTACACGAATCGCTCTCAAAGTCTAGTGTGCAAAAGCAAGGGTTGATCCCACCGAGATTTGTAAGCAATTTACTAATCCTAATAATTATACTTCAATTAAAACTAATAACAAAACTTAATAATGAAGAATTAAGGAAGATCACTTGAAAAGCAACAATTGATTAAAACTAAAATTAAACAACTACTAAAATTATCTAAAACCCAATTGTCTAAAACCTAGGGTCTAATTTCACTATAACTATCTAACTCTATGTCAACCATCTATCTATTGTTTATCAATTCAGTCTCTAAGGTTCGCATTCACTAAATCAACGTATTACCGTAAGGATTTCGGGATTAACCTAGTATTTTTAACACAAGACTAGTTAGGGCGTATAGTCCAGCCTATGAATTAAAAACCCATTAAACACAAGAATATTCTATTACGGAGTATGCACATAGTACTAATCATTCATTCATATGAGTTCTTCGAGATTAAAACATAATACATGTCTAATCTTAACGCATAAAATCTAATAACTTACACTAAGTGTCGTCACACAGTAATGAAAATTAAAGATTAAATTAATAACAATAGTGAATCAAGCTTTCCATTAAATTGATAACAATAACATATGTTTAACATACAACCTTCCAATTAGGCTACATTGGATTCCAGAGAAGAATTTAGCTAAACATTGACATGAAGAAAGCAAACCTCAATTGCCCCCAAAGCATGAATAATCCAAAACCCTAGGAAGAATCTCTATCTCTTTCTTGCTACAAAGTGGCTCTCAATTGAGGTAAAAGAGAATCCCTAAAATAAACTACAATGTCTTATTTATACTTTTCCTTTGCTAGGGGTGTTTTTGGGAAAGTAAAAGTTCAAATCGGAGTTGGAAAGGGTAATATTTTTCCTTTTCTTGTGATCCATGCCGCGACATGATTTCCTAGCGCCGCAGCATCGAATTCTCATGCAAACCTTAAAATTCTTTTATGCCGTAGCGTCGACTTCTCCACGCCGCAGCATAATCTTTTGGCCCAAACTTTCTCTTTTGTGATATGATGCAGAAAATCCATGCTACGACGCCATCTAGTTGTTTCGCATTTTTCTTCCTCTTAGTGATCTGATTTCTCTTCCTTAGGATGTCCAGGCCTCCAACCATCGTGTGAGCATACCATCATCCCTTTTCCACCTAAAAACCTGAAACTTATACACATACCTGTGATTTTTTAAAATAGAAATATATAAAGAAATTTGCATAAAAATAATCCTTAAAGTTAATGAATTTCATACAATCTACCCATGAAATCACGAAATATAAATACCATTTTACTATTCATCAAGATCACATTGCACATCCCGTTAGTATGTGACGCTATCAGTGGTGGTGTAACTTGGCGGTTCTTACTTGCGAAGGTGGCCTTTCCTTTATCTGTTAGGAAATCCTAGAGGTGACCTCTCTTTAGTAGCTCCACAACTTTGAGATGGAGAGCAATGCAATCGATGGTGATATGCCCTTAGTCTTCGTGGAATTTGCACCACTTGGTAGTATCTCGCTTGGCCTTAAAGTGTGGCAACTTTGTTGGCCATCTGACGACCTTTCCCATCTCTTTCATCACTGCCACTACTTCTGTGGGCCTGATTTTCAAGTTGTAGTCAAGCATCTTATACCTGTTAGGTTGGACGGGTGCTCCATCCATGTGCCGAGTCGAGTGACGCTCCCATTGGAGTCTATTATTGTTGACTGAACCTCTCCTTACTCGGTACGGTTTGACTGCTCTGTTGTCATTACACCTATTAGATTAGCGAGGGTGGTGGTCGTCGGCTTTGCTAAGCTTGACTTGATAGACCTCATCCTCTTCCCACCTTATTTCTATCTAGGTGCAGGCCAACACATTCTCTATGGTGGTGAAATTAAACTTGGTGAGTTCCTTGTATATCTCACCATCAGGGAGAAGTCCCTTCCCGAATGCATCCATCGTAGTCTCTTAATTACAATAAGGGATAAAGACTTTCTCAGGGTTGAAGCGTCCCACGTATTCCCGAAGTGGCTTAGTATGGTGTTGGCAGATCTGGTAGAGATCGCTAGATAGCTTTTCTAGCTTTTTGCTACCGACGAATTGCTCCATGAAGGTGTCCGTGAGCTAGGTGAAGGACGTGATAGAGTTGTTGGGGAGGTTAGTATACCACTGGTGTGCTAGTCCCACGAGGTCGAAGTCGAAGTCGAAGCATGCTCTGTGGTTGTCCGAGTCAGTGGTATTATCGTAGAGCTTCATGTTAGGGAAGGTGAATTTTAATGGCATCTCCATGATTGCTAGGTGTCTATGAAGCGTGAATCAGTATAAATTTTGGGGTTGGCTCTTCCTAAGGGGTATGGGTACACCGAGAATGCATTGGATCATGGCTTCCATCTTGGCAAGTTGCTTGGTTAGTGTTTGCTCAATGGGGTTTGGCATTGGGTTGTATAAGTTGTTGAGGAATTAAGGGAAGACATTGGGATTAACATGTATGGTCAAGCCGAGCGGGGCAGTTTGGGTAGTGATGCTGGCCAGTGATTGCATTGGATATGTTTATGGGAGGATAAAATGAGCGTTTAGTTATTGGAACGGGGTAGCTTGTTTGCATGTTTCAGTGGTTGAAAGGTTGATGGGTTGGGTGCTATCAGCGTGGCTAGGCTCAATTAGGGATGTTGTGGTTGTTGGAGCCATACTATGGTAAGGGGGTTCCATGAGGGTGCCATGATCTAAGGTGGAAAACAGTTGTTGGGGATGAATGGGTAGTCGAGAGGAGGATGCATGATATTGATTTAGATACCAATCCAAAAAACATAATTGGGTTACCTTTTCTTGGAGAGCTTGATTCTCTGTGTGGATGGCAGCGTTCTGAGTTTCCAGGGCTTGGTACTTTTCACTACTCTCTTGCACTGTTGTGGTAAGAGTCGTAATCTGAGCTGCAACATTCGGCATGGGGTTTTCAATGTTATCAGTCATGATGGTTGAATGGAGAGAGTAGGTTACTTTGCATTGAATGATTATCAAGGCTCTACAGTGGGCATCAAACTATAGACGGTAAAATCTATGGTCAACTTGAGAAGGGGACTGATCTTGTATGAAGTGAGCCACTAACAATCAGATGTACTTGCACAAAAAGCAAAAGAGAACGTGAAGGCTAGATAGACACTGGTGTGGTGCCTACCGTAGACACTCCGATGCTTAAGTCAGCAAGGCTGAGGGGATTTTACTGAAGGCTAAGGACAGAAAGGAATATCAGAATAATGCGACAGTTCTTGGGAGAAAGAACTTTGAGAGCTTAGTTGTTGCAGGGGTTTCTGAATGAATAATGAGATAGTCTACCCCTGCTTATATAGTGATCCCAAGATACTCGAATCCTAGTAGGACTCAAAGTCCTACCAGGTAAAGGAGTTGTAATTAGGAAAGAGATAAGATCTCTTTTTCTTATCGGGTTAAGCTTAACATTTGTGATTGTGATCCAAGATCTTGATAAAAGTGGAAACATAATAGGATTCTGTTTCCAATTTATGGACTGTTGTGGGCTATTGGGCTTGACCCACCAGCTTAGCTTAGGCCAAGGTTGTTTGCTAAGATGGAGAAATGTGAGTTCTTTATGAGGAGCATTATGTCTCTAGGTATGTAATTTCAGGTGAGGGTATAATGGTTGACCAATCAAAGGTGTATACAATTAGGAGCTGGCCCAAACCTAAAACCATTAGTGAAGTAATGAGTTTTCATGGTTTAACTTTTTTCAATTGGAGATTTGAGCCCAATTTAGTACTTTTATGTCACCTATCACCAAGAGTTCAAGGGCAACAAGCTATGTGTGCCTCATGGGAGTTTTAGAGAGTTGCTTATGAGAGAGGTACATGGAGGAGGGCTTGGGGTCACTTTGGGGTTACCAAAACAGTGGAAGTTCTTAGGGAGCATTTTTATTAGCCAAAGATGCTTGGGGGATCTGCAAACCATAATGGCTAGATATGGAGTTTGTCATAGAGCCAAGAGTCAATTCAAACCAAGGATGTACACTCAATTGTCGATTCCTAATCAACCTTAGGAAGACTTAAGCATGAACTTCATTGTAGCCTTGCCGAGAACTCAAAGAGGTAAGGATTCCATAATGGTTGTTGATAGATTCTCTAAAATGACACATTTTATTGCACGCAACAAGACCAATGATGCATCACATGTGGTTAAGTTGTTTTTCCTTAGTCATTTTTGGAGATCTTTATGGAGTAGATTGGGTACCAGACTCTTATTTAGCACTTCCCATCACCTCCAAACTGATAGTCAAACCGAGGTCACAAATAGAACTTTAGGAACCATCCTAAGAA